TTTTATATACAAATTGGAAGGTTTTTAAGTTTATGCTAACTTTTTTCATTTTAATTCTAGATTTTAGCATAAGATACTTCAAAGTATGCTATACTAATCGCCTGCAAGGGCACCTCGGCGTGGTGTAATGGTTAGCAAGCTTGTCATGCTAGATCAGTTACTACTGAAAAGTGAGTTCGATCTTCACTGGATGCCCCATGCTTCCGGCCTTGTGCCACATCTAAGCTACGCTTGGAAAATCTCTACTAGTCGCCTGCAATAAGAAAATATGAAAAATAAAATAAAAATACACTCTTTCGTCGAATAGGACCCACTGAAAAAATTCTCATCAATTCAAACTTGTCCAAACCGGAGTTGCTATATTGAACTGCAAGTAGCTATTTTGGGTCAGTCAGTTATGGGCCATGCGGGATACACACTTAAGCGATCATGTTTCTTTTGATACATGACTGACGAGGCAGATTTTTTTTCCTGCAGTAGCTTGCCATTTCTTTCTGCGGTAGACCAGTTGCCATCCAAGGCTATAAAACCCGGCCTGTCCTGCCATTTACCCATAGCTGGTCGGGAGAGAAGAGGATTCATACTTTTTCCCAAGGGTATTAGCACATAAGTGAATGTATTGGATTTGACTGGAACTCGAACTCGGCTCTCCGATTCTCCAATCCGAGCCGTTATCTATTACTCAATTCGGGTAAATAGTAAATTTTAATTTCACAAATAAAACTGTTAGTCCAACTTATTTTAAAAAGTAGCCTCAAGTAGGTAACTTGTAGCGCCGAGGACAATGGCAACATTTTAACAAGCAAAATAATCACTAGTTATATCCAATACATAAATAATATTAGTTACTGATTTTTCCTCTGTTGCAAAATATTTTTTAATTATAAAACCCTGTAAAAGATATAAAATAAAATAATCCATTTAGCAACATTTTTGCTGAATCGTGCGAAAGATCAAACCGAAAAAATTATCAAAGCTCAATATGGTTTCCGACCCGGTAAATGAACAACAGATGCAATTTTTATTATTAGATAGGTAATGGGAAAGGCCAGTAGTAAAAGTACTTCTACACTTCCATTTTATTGGCTTGAAGGCAACTTTTGATACAATTTGTAGAAAAACATTGTGGATTGTGTAGAATGATGAACGCTATTGGTGTAAATCCTCGGATTGTTAACATTATTGATTTCATTAATGAGGCAGAATCAAAATATCACTGGTTGGTTTAAATTGGGAGTGGGAGTAAGACATAGTTGTTTGCTATGACCCACTCTTTTTAATATTTTTCCAGAAGTTGCGATGGATAAATTACATTCTCTACATCGTGCACTTTACCTAAATGAAGAGCTTTTAGCAACGGATATTCGATCTGTTGATAACACAACGCTGGCATCCGCAATATTCGAGAAAATCCAGATATCTACAGAAGAACTGGACAAAGCTTGCAAAAACTGGGATATGAAAATAGATGCAAAGTAACTTCCTCTAGTTTAGACGAAATAACTAAACTGTTGTTGAAAAAATGAAAACGTTTACATTCCTGGGATCAGTAGTCCGTGGATAATCAGCAGATACAAACAGACAAATAGTTTTAGCATCATTAGTATTTGGTAAACCAAAAGAGAAGACATAGAATAGAAAAAAGATATATCTTGTGCTATGGAAGTAACGTTATTCTATGTTGTAGAAACGTGGAGCCTAAAAGAAGATTATAGAAAACTTGTTGTCTTTGAGTTATGTTTGTGTCGAATCAAAATGGACAATGTTAGAAAAGAATTCGGTATAATAAGTAAAATCACTTAATGAGGAAGAAACAATTACGATTGTTTCACTGTGCAGTTAGAAAAGACTAATTGAGTTATGTGCTTCAAGCATTTCAAAGGGATTCTATTGCATCAAGATCAAAGAATATATCTTCCAAGGAAAGGCTAAATTAAAAGAGACGCCAATTTCCTGACGACAGGAAGAACAGCAAAAGATAAGCATTGTGTAAACAACAGTGGTGTAAGGATCCTGTAATGGATTATGCAGCTGAAGCAAAGTAAAAGATACTGTAACGTCAAATCTGTCGTTTAACTTTTATCTCTTGGCTTTTAGATATTTCACAATGAAGAGGTTGATTGCACGATCTGAACAATGGCATGATTGCATGATCTGAACTGAAACTCTACCAGTTCTACACACAAGACATTCTTCTTCTATGTGCCATGTTCTTTCAGAATTTTGGCGATTATGGCTCACCATAATTTCTTATACTTTGTAGATCCTTATAAATACTGTCATTTTGTTTCTCCCCTAAACCCTGTTCTGCCATCTATTTATTAAATCTCGCTGTTATGCGTTGTTTTCCTCTGTCATTCTTGCTTTAAATTTGTCCTGTAAGTATCAAATTTTGTAAGCCCTCTTTCCTCATTATCTGCCCTAGAAATTTCAACTGTTTCTTTCTTATGTTAATTATAAGAGTCCTTTGGTTTCTATTTTCTCTAAAACTTGGTCGTTGCTGACATATTCGATCCATGGTATTCTCCACATCCTTCTGTAGAACCACATTTCTTCAAGCCTCTTCATCAGTGAGGAGATTGTCCGATATTCGTTTTCATATAGGAGGACTGATATTACCTAACAGTTCAGTGCTCTTTTCTTTATTTCTAACGAAAATTTTCTGTTTCTTAATACTTTGCTTAGCTTTTGGAAGGCATCTTTCTCTATCCCATGCGGCTAAAATGTTTTGCACTTTTCGTCCTCTGTTAAAACACTTCCCAGATATTTTAATTGTTGTACTTGCTTGATTTTGGTATCTCCAATTTGTATGTTGGGCTGTTCCAACAACCATGCATTCTATTTTCTTGCAATTGATGCTAATTCCTTTCTTCTCACTTTCCTTCATTGCCTTCCGTAGGGATTATTGTAGTTTCCTTTGTATGTCTGCTATCAACACTGTGTCATCTGCATATCTTATGTTGATGAAATTGTGGCCACCAATAATGAATCCTGGTACGAATTCTAATTCTCTCAGAATCGTCTCACTGTAAAGGTTGAATAACCAGTGAAAAGACACATCACTGTCTTATACGCCCCTTTTTATTTTTGTATATTTACTGAATTTATTTTCTATCCGTATGCAGGCAGTATGCTGCCAGTATATGTTCTGGAATATTTTAATCTCCTTCCCAAATGTGTCAAGGTTATCCCAAATTATGAAAGATAATGGTGTGAAGTAGATTTAATTTATTGGAATTAACTCCTCGTCCGGTAAGGAGGGACATGTGTAACAAGATAGATATCATAATTTAACGTCAGAACTTAGCCCAAGCATCTGATTCTAACCTCATGACTAATGTACAAAGCGCTTGCTTACCACTAAGCATGTTGAAATTTAGTTAAATGACGAACAAGTAGGCCAGTGGATTAGTAACACATTTTAACGATTATTTTTTCATTTTTTGATAATAATTATATTTTTTACTATAACGACAACTGTTATTTTCACGAAGAGAATATAAAAGAAAAATATATATTTTTAGGTAGCACACTGTCTACTTTACAAAAACGTATTGAACCTTCATTAAGGAGCTGTTACATACCAATACGCAGCCATTATTGTCCATCATTGTAATCCTGTTAAGAAGGGATAATCCAGTAGTGGCTTTCTGAATGCGAAAAGCTCAACGATAATATTTCAAGTGACAGTATTTCAAGATTTTGCAACCGGATCAGGGACTGCTTGCACATAAGTAGACGTATTAGAAAGCCTGGATCTAAAATGTTACTGAACATATGTTTTAGTTAGAACAACAGATCACATCTATGATTGATGAACATTCTTCTCAGAGACAATTTTACTATTGCCATTACATTTTCGTAATCCTTTATAGGGCAAAGTTATTGCAAATTAAATCTTAAATTATGTAACAAACGATATTAATAGCTTTTTAACTCACAAATTCATAATTTTGCAGTGACTTTTTTTTCTTTTGTGTAGAAATTGGTCGTAGCAATGGACAGGCTTAGATTTGAACATTTTTTTTAGTAATACCGGAAGTATGAAAACGGTAAATAAATCTCAGGCACGTGAAATTAAAATTCACCGTATGCATACATTTGTGATAAAGCAGAGACTTATTGGTTCAGGTTACTTAAATATTTCGTTTAATTTAATGATCTTATATTTAATAATAAAAAAAAATTACAATAATTATTAGATTTGAAAACATCTGCGAAGTGTTTTGACAAAGTATTGAGAAACAGAAAAATGTCGTTAGAAACAAAGAAAAGGGTACTGAACTGTCACGTGATACCTGTCCTCCTTTATGGCAGTGATTGCTAGACAATCTCCTCGCAAATGAAAAAGAGACTTGATCCAACAGAAACGTGGTTCTACAGAAGAATGCTAAGAATACTATGGACCGAACATGTAAGCAACAGCGAATTTTTAAAGAAAATTGAAATGAAAAAAGGACCCTTATACTTAACATCAGAAAGACACAGTTGAAATTTCTAGGGTACATTAAGAGGAAAGACGGCTTGGAAATTTTGATGCTCACAGGACAGATTCAATGTAAGATGGACAGAGGAATACAAAGCATAACCTACTTAGCGAGATTGAGTAAATAGATGGCGGAGCGATGTTTAGGAGAGATAACAAAAAAGACAATATTTATTAAAAGCTATTAAAGGATAGGAAATTGTGGAGAGCCATGATCATCGATGTCCTGAAGTGTCACGGCGCATAAAAGAAGAATTCCCTCCTTTTTCTTTCCTTTCTGGACCTAAATACCTATTATTTATGTTAAAAGGCAGTGTATAAGACAATATTTACTCCTGAGAAAAATGTTAGCCATTAATAATGTTTTAGGAAGTTTAAATTTTAAAGTGAAAAACAAAAAATGGTTGTCAAATGACTCTCAGCTTCTGGCTGTTACTGGTTAACAGTTCATAAAATATCTCCTTTTAACAATAATCGCTAAGTAAGTAAAATGTAATTAAATCTTTTTACTTGC